TAATACATTAAGTAAAAGTTTTCTAAATTAAATTTTGCATTTAAAAATCTTGTTTATAAAATATTTAATAAAATAATAATTTATTATTAAGAAAAATAAAAAAGGGTGTTACAAATAAGACATAAGAGATAAGCTATTAAAATCACATTATGGATCATATGATTTACTATGTTCGTAACTCGATTTTAATAGCAAACCTCCTACATGTAACAGGATATTACAAATACATTTTTCCTTATCATTAATATCTTATAATATTATTATTATTACATCATTTTTATTTTTAGATCTTCCTTAATTTTTAATAATTAATTTCTTTTTTTACATTTTTTTCAATTTATATAATGAATTTTTTCTTTCTTTCACATTCATATATATATTCGCATTTCTTCCTTATTATTTTCACTATTTTCTTTTTGGTAATATAAATTATATAAGTATTCTATAATCTCAATTTATTAGTTTCTTTTTCTAAACTTTTATATAATATTTATACATATTTGTAAGTTATGTTTTTTTTCTTTAATTTTAAAAGTCTTTATCTATTTATTTATTTTTTAAATTTTGTAATTAATTCGTAATTTTGTATTTTATTTGTCAATTGATCTATTATATCTTATATAATTCTATCATCTATCAGTTATGTCAGATGATTTATATTTTGTTACATTTTTTCAGTTAATTACTTATATAATATTATATGATTTGACTTATTTCTTTTTAAATAATCTATATATCTCTCATATTTCTTGTTATATGACATATTTATGTTACTTGATATGTGATTTAACATTATGTATTTTGTATTACATATCATAATTTTAATTAGTTACTGTTCTTTATTTTGTGATTTAATTTTGCTTAATATTATATGACTTTTGATTAATTTTTTTTTTCATAACCTTTTATTTAATTAATTATTTTTTAATCTTTTGATATTTTAATTCCTTTAATATTAATTATTTATTAAAAAAGATCATATAATGTATTATTTCAAGGTTTCTTAATTTTACAACATATAAGGTAATATTAATAATACAATTTATATATTTTATAATGGCAGAAAATTTTAAATATAATTTAATAATAATATCTTATTAATTAATTTGACTTAATATTTAAAATTAGAAATTTATTATTAGTAAGAAATATTAAAGAAAGAATTAGGAAATAAAATTGGAAAAATTAAGGCGTGATATTAATGAACTTAAAAAAGAATCAGAATCTAAGAAAAATCGCAAATTCCAGACTAGATGCATCCAGATAGCTAAGGAAATTCTTAATGAAGAACCTATGATCGAATATCATTCTCTCTTCTTGGATAGATTAGAGCTTGATGCCTTCTTTCAAAAATATCAAATCGCATTGGAGGTGCAAGGGGCTCAGCATCGGTTTCATAGCACTAGCTGATATAAAGATGTCAAAAAACTCGAGGACATCATTAATCGTGATCGGCGAAAATGATGTATTTGTCAAGATAATGGAATTTCTCTTCTTGAAGTATGGTACGATGAAAAACCAGAAATCGTTATCTCTAAAAGAATACAAAAAATTAAGGAGTTTGTTTATCTAGCATCCAAAAGTTTTGATATTCAGACCAAATCCTATAAAATATTAACCTCTGAATATCTGGATTGGTATGCCAAATTAACTGGTTTACCAAGTATTTTGACAGATAAGATTCGTTCCAACTTATATAAAAGATATAAGAAAGAAACTGGACATGAACCATGATATCAAAAGCTATGACAAGCATGTTAACAAACCTCAAGCCTTTGATTTTAAGCATATCACTTACCTGATCCAGAATTAATTATTAAGTATTGTGAATATTCTTCTCGCTTATCACCTGATATGTAAATACTGAGAGTCACAATCTCAAAGTTTAGCACTTTTTTTATATGAAGATATAATCTAGTGTGACAGATATCTGTATTAAGTCAGTTGCGTAACTTATTAACTAATGAGTCAGATCAATCTGTTCGACAATCAATTTCTTATATATATACCTGATATCCAAAAAAATTTTTCCAATTTCATGCTACTCTTTTTAAATAACTATGTCTAACGTCTACGAAGCAATCAAACTGCTTGATTCAAAAGAGGAAAGAATTGCACTACGAGCCTTCTTCACTAAAGATCCAGAAATAGAAGCTAGAGCGGGACGCGTCCTTCTTACATGTGAAGAAAATAGAGAGATAGTTGCTTATTTCAAAAATCTCTTAAAGCCTGGTATGTTCTCTTATAGCCATGACATATTCGCCAATAATACTGAATACTTACTTATTCTTGTGCTTTTCTTTCCTGCTTCTTATCGTCAAACCCGCCCAAAAAACACATTCGCATTATTGTAGAGTAACCGGTTGCTGGTAAGTGAGTCATAATATATTTAGTCAATGCGAGTGAACGTGAAATGGCTTGATTTTTCTTTTATAACAATATCAGATATTCCCGCTTTTCTCATTTTCTAACCAATAATGTTAAACTTTTTTGTATTAGAACAAGGTGATTTTCCTAATTTAAATTCTCTGAATGATGTAGTTGAGGAAATCGTTAGAGGTCTTGATTTTAAAATGGAGCAGGGTTTTAATAAAGTACGTCGTGCTATAGAGGAATCGATCTATTCTTCAGGTATGTTATTCATCTGATCCATCAGTCATTTTTGCAAACACAATTAACGATTTATGTTTAGGTACTGATTTAACGGGAATTGATAAGGGTAAAACTGTTATGGATAAAGGAACACATATTGTGTTTCCGCTTGAATGGACCACGAGTAGCAAAAGAAGTGGAAATGGAAGGTTTACAAATCCGCCTAACAGAAATGCAGATCTAAGAGAAGAAGAAGTACAACAATACTTTATTAACAAATGCAAGGAACTAGAAAAATCTCTAAATATAAAAAACAAGTTTATTGTTGTGGATAAGCATTCTTCACCATCAATAGGAACTCGAAATCCAGATTTCCTATTCATTTCAAAAGGTTTACATTTAAATATATTAAATGTTATTGCCGTTGGTAAGATAAAAAAATGAGGCAGTGATAATTTTAACAGCGCACAAATAGGACAGGCAATATCATTCAGCGAAAAAGTACTCCAACTTCAGCCACGTCGAACCTTTGTATATGTAGTATTAACAGATAGTATTGTAATTAATATCTATATAGTGTATAGGGTAGATCAAAATACCCGTTCAAATCTAACCACCCAGTTCACGTATCAATACATAATACCTGCATCTTTAGAGTTCAATGGTGCTCGCATTGCTGATAATACTGGGTGGAAGTTACTGGTAACAATTATGGAAAGCTCTCCGAACATCTTGGGATGGGTAAAACTATCACTGAAATTTGGCAATAATACTGTAAATCTGTTTCGATCCATTGGTGTTAGTAGAACTAGTGTTGTTTATAAAGGAAAACATAATGATGCACTCGTAGCTGTAAAAGTTGCGAAAAAGGCAAATTATCTTCCTTGTTTTGAAAGTGAATATACCGCATTGAATGATCTGTCAAGTCTTAATTCCCTTCATATTCTAAAAATCCTTTTTAACAGTATGGATGCTCTTATTATATCTCAAGTTGGTGAGAGAATTGGTAATTTGCGAAAAAATGATATTAAAGATATCATCAGCACACTCGAAAAAGTACATTCACTTAATTATGTACATAGAGATCTTCGTAAGTATAATCTTATTTGTGATCAATTAGGAAATATTGTTATTATTGATTGGGGTATAGTATAAAATTGGAGGGGAATCATAACTTTGCATTTGCTGGAGCGTTGGAGTGTATGCTAGATAGCATCTTGCAATCAATAGTCAATGATGATGATGATATTATTTATGGACCAAGAGTTGATTTGACATGTTTGGTGCGTTCATTCTATTTAATGCTTCATAGACCATCATTAGATAGAATTTCTTTCGATAAAGGGGATGATATCAAGAGTCGAGCACAGATGATGCTAAATTTCTGGATGGGTTGTGGACGTTCGAATGTATGAGATAGCATTTATAACGCAATAGAAATCTTAGACTACAATCAATTAATTCAACAGCTTGAAAGATTGTTTTAAATTGCTAGCCTTGGGTAATTTGGATTTTATTGCTAATTGCTATATCTCTTCTAATTTCTAATGGCTTCAAAAAATTTAATGTAATATTGCTTATTATTTTCATCACATATATCAATAAAAATTAGTTCATATGACGTGATGTTAGTAACTGTGATGTAGTTTTTTTGCTTTTGTACTCCGCATATCATATATAAATAGCATCAATTTTACATATATAATGCATCGTATAAATAATAAATTTTCTTGCATGGGTTTACTGCGCCGAATGCCCGAATCTTGAAATAAAAAGTTGAAAATAAAAGTTAATATAAAAATTAGAATTTGTAATTAGAAAAAATGATAATAAAATCTAAAACTAGATATTAAGTAAAGTTAGAAAATAATAATTAAGTTATAATGTAATAGTAAAAATGATTAATAAAAGAATTAGGAATTAAAGATAATTAGAAAAAGAAATAGTAATCAGAAATTATTAGAAAATTAGAATTATTAAAAAGAAAAATGGAAATTAAAATTAAAAAGAAAAAAATAAAAATCAGAAAAAGTATATTTTATATAAATTGATAAATTATTAATTAAATTGTATTTTGACAAACATAATTATTTATTAATAATTTATAATACTTGTTGAATTGATATAATTAATTTTAATATTATTAAAATTAATTAGCACTAAATATAGAAAAAATCTATAGATTGATTAATGTTAAAATTTATATAAATAGAGATAATAATTTTATTATATAAATCAGTTGAGACTTTCTACTAGATAGGAACTTAAAAACTCTTTCTCTCTTTTTCATTTTTAATATTAACAAAAATAAAAAAAATACAAAAAGAAAACAGCCTTGTATATACTAAGAAAATGAATTTTGAAAAGTCTATATATAATTTGATTAGACAACTACAAATATAAGATAAAATAATATATATATATAGAATGATTCAACTTTACAAAAACAGTTTCTTCTTTTCCACCTATATCACAGTTATTTTTCTTTTTTATTAAAGCAAAATAAAAATCTGATTTTTCTCTTAAATCACAAAAAATAAACAAAGACAAAAGCAACAAAAATAACAATATATAAACAAATATTACCTCTGCTTTCTCTTTCCTTCTAACTCTATTTTTCTTTTTTTTCATATCTTTCTTCTTAAATAATACTCAAAAAGGAAATTTTAGTAAACAAAATCATATTACATCTAATAATAACAATAGAATGCTATCTGTATTGAATGATGCCTAAATAAGAAAATTATAATAAAACTTCTTGTCAAACAATGCTAAATTAGGAGATTTACAATAATATAGCCTCTTATAAAATGATGCTAAATTGGAAGATTCATAATAAGCCATTTCAAAGTTGTTCGATCGGCATTTTGATCGTCAAATCCAGTAACCAATCAAAATTTATGATTGAAATTTATAATTGAGATCATTGATTTAGTAAAATTGATCGACTGTTACGAATTTTTTTTAAAAATAATTTTTTATCTAATGTCGGACCATAAAAAAATAAAAAATTTATTTTCTTTTTAT